AAAATAAAGTAAGTAAACTATCAAACTTTTTAAAAATTATTTAACCCTTGAACTTGATAAAAAAAAAAGGTTAATTTGACCCCTTTGCCATATCATCATCCATAGTAGATTATCATGTCAATATCATAGATTATCACGTAAGCATAGTAGACCGTCACATTAACATCATGAATTATCATATCAATATTGTAACAGTCAACACTCAATTACATTGGTCAAAGTTTTTTTTCTCAATTTAAAGATCACATTAATTGTAAATTAAATTTAGAGTAAAGTATATAAATGGTCACTGAACTTTGTAGATGCTTGTATTTAGATCATCTAACTTTTAAAACTTACAATACAATCACCAAACATTTAGTTCATTTGCAATATGGTACCCGACATAACGGTCGTTTCACTGCTGTTAGGGTAAATTATATAAATGGTCACTGAACTTTTCAGGCGCTTGCATTTAGGTCTCTCCAACTTTTAAAACTTGCAACACATTCATCAATTGTATTCTAAACCCTAAAATCTAAAATGTTTCAATAACATTCTAAACCTCAAAATCCAAAATACTAAAATTACATGCCCAACCCCAAATTCATAATCCATACTCAAAATCTGTCATAACAAACTGAACTTGAATCAACAACCCTAAACCGTCAAAACATAACTATTTCGAAAATTTTAACCAACTATAAGTGAACAATAAGTGATTATGTTAGGTTTAAGGTTATGTTGGACATGAATACTCAATTCAGTTTATAAAATAGTTGATTCAAAAAAAATTCAATTTGAGTTTATAAAATTAAAATAAAGTCGAATTGAATTGAATTGAATTGAATTTTCAAGTTTCTATTTAAATTTAATTATAAATATTTATCATATTATAATATTATTTGATTGTAATTCAGTTCAATTTATAAAATAGTTAACTCGAAATTTTTTCGATTTGAGTTTATAAAACTTAATCAAGTCGAATTGAATTGAATTTTCGAGTTTCTGTTTAAATTTAATTATAAATATTTATAATATTATAATATTATTTGATTCTAATTTAAATAGTTTTTAACCATATACAATACATATATTTCTTCATATTTTTTCCATATGTGATATACATATATCATACAGAGTCAAGGGACTTGACTCAAACTTAAAAAATAATCCACTAATTACTAAAAATTTTGAGATATTCGAGATGTATTTTACAACTCGATTTTAACTTAAAATTTTTTTAAGTTGAGTTTATGAAATTACAACTCAAAGTCAATTTGTATCAAATTTTTTGAATCAATTCAAGTCGAAAAATAATTTTTTTCGAATCGAATTGAGTATTGTTCACTTATAGTTGGTTAAATCTAACATTTAAATCCTAAACCCAACATAATCACTTATTGTTATGGACCCAAAATGAACTAAATGTTGTTGATTATGTTGGGTTAATTGGTGGGGAAAATTAGCATTTAGGGTTATATTTTGAGGGTTTAAGGTTGTTGCTTCAAGTTTAATTTGTTATGGCAGATTTTGAGAATGGATTATGAATTTGGGGTTGAGCATGTAATTGAAGTATTTTTGGAATTTGAAGTTTAGAATGTAATTGAAGTATTTTGGAATTTTGGGTTTATAATGTAATTGATGAAGGTGTTGCAAGTTTTAAAAGTTGGGTGACCTAAATGAAAGCCCCTGAAAAGTTCAGTGACAATTTATATAATTTACCCTAATGGCAGTGAAACGACTGTTACATAGGGGACCTTATTATAAACGAACTAAATGTTTAGTGATTGTATCACAAGTTTTAAAAGTTAAAGAACCTAAATAGAAGCATCTGAAAAGTTCAATGACCATTTATATACTTTACCCTTAAATTTATGATTATATTACTTTTGTAATCTTTTAAAAAAATATAACATCGTTATATAATAAATTATATTTTATCTCTTTCAAATGAATATTCTAACTCCATCACTAGGGATGGGCATCTAACCCGAACCCGACGGGTTCCGACCCGACCCGATCGGGTCGGATTTTTTTTAAAAAAAAAATCGGGTTCGGGTCGGGTCGGTTCGGGTTTTTTTATGTGGTATTCGGGTCGGGTTCGGGTTTAGGGTGAAAAAAATCCGACCCAACCCGACCCGGGAAAAATATATAATTTTACCTTATATATTTAAGAATAATTACAATAATACCCCTCTATATATTATTTTTTTCAATTTAGTCACTGTTTTTATTGAATAAAAATAAATTTTTTTATTATTTCGGGTAGGGTCGGGTCGGGTCGGATTTTTTAAACTATCTATCGGGTCGGGTTGGGTCGGGTCACGGGTGGAAGTTCCCTTCTTCTCGGGTCGGGTCGAGTGGACCAAAAACCCGACCCATGCCCATCCCTATCTATCACTACTTATATAAGAATATATAAACCCTAAGTAGTCTCAATAATTAAAAAATATTATTTTTAGAAGATGTGAGCTTGAGAAATTAAAGCGTCAGCAAGGTGCGTAGGTATTGTCAATAGATAATTTTTTTTAAAATAAATATTATCTTATATTCTCTCTAAATATTTTAAATAATTTTTTATAAATAAGTTTAAATAAAAAATTAAATAATTTAATTTGAATCTAAATATTATTTATTTAAATCATTTTTTAAAAATAAAATTTAAATTGAAAAATAAAAATAATCGACTTAGTAAGAACTTATTTGGCTCAACTTTTGAAAAGTGATTTTTAAAATTGCTGTAGGAACAAAAATTTTAAAAGTGTTGTACAAAAGTACAATTTAAAATGTAACTGTTTTGGATTATTGTAGACACTCATTTTCGTCCCATTTTTTATATAGTTTACAAACATTTTAAAAATATTTATATTATATAGTTTTTTAAAAACGTTTTTGAAAGCTTATATACAATACGTAAGTTTTAAAGCATTTTGAAAATTATATAATATATAGTTTTGAAATCATTTTGAAAATATAATATATAGTTTAAAAAAAACATTTTGAAAAACTTATATAATATTTTTAAAAATCATTTTTGAAAACTATATGATATATAGTTTTGAAAACATGTTTTTTAAAATATAATATATAGTTTAATTTTTTTTAAATATATATATTATATAGTCTATATTATTATCAGTATATTATTATTTAATTTCATTTTATTCATTTTAATTAATTTCGTTTTTTGTTTCAGTGTCCAATAACAGTCCAAGTCTGGTCCAAACACTGGGCCTGAACCAGCCCAGCAGCAAGATAGGGTTTCATCTAAGTCCAGCGCCGCACAATTCATAGCCGTTGGATCAAGATGGAGATCAACGGTCAAGGTTGCAGTTGTCTAGGGTTTCATTCAACCCTCAACAGCGTCGCAAAATCAGGAGGTCAAGAGTCACGCGAAACGGCCGGACGTCGGCCGAGGATCCCGGGACTGAACCATCCCGGGATTTCAACAGTAACATTTATGACCCCGTTATCATCGGAGCAGACCACCGGTGGGGTGGGTATAAATACCCCACCACGACGGTCGGAGCAACGAGGGGCCACCGGAGAGGCGGCCGGAAATCGCCTTGAGGAGAGAGGCCAGAGAGAGTTCCAGTTCTCTCGTTTTAGAGAGAGAGACCAGGGTGAGAAATGAGAATAGGGGAGGGGTTCTGGGCCGTTTTTGGTAGATACATACCCCCATGCGACGTCGTTTTGAAGAGGGGGTTTTTTGCATTTTTATCTGCGGGTTAATCCCATTTCAGGTCCCCCGTATTTTGTTTCAATTTATGTTCACCCATTTAATTCGAATGTTGTCCCCTAATTACATTTCCTTTCAAATTGGTCCCTTTTATTTATTTATTCATTTTCTTTTCCTTTTTTTATTTCCAATTCCGTACATTTGTTTTTATCTTTTTATTATTATTATTATTTACCTCTTACTATTTCTTTATTTCATTTTTATTTAATATTTTTTTTATTTTTTATATCTATTTTTTTTAAAAAAAATTTCTTTCTTTTGTATTCACTAACATTTTTAATTTTGTAGATAAATTCCAACAAATCAAAGGTAAGTAATTCGAATCAAATTTTTAAATTTTAATTTAAATTTCTAGTTTTCGCTATAAAGACAACCGACAAATTAATTGGTACCGAAAGGACGATTCAAGGGTGCTAATCCTTCCTTGACCGTAACCGACTCCCGAGCCCGACACGTTTCTGGTACAACGCAGATCAGGTAAGATGGTGTCCGACCCACCTAAATATTGTTTTAAAATGATCGGTGGCGACTCTAACCCTATCAATTCACGTCGGAGCCTAATTCCGAGCCCAACCGAAAGACGGTTGCGACAATTATTATTTAAAAAGTTAATTTGAAAATATAAAATATATGTTATAAACACACATTAAATTATAATTGAGTGGAATTAATGTACTAGTAAGGATAAAATTATAATTTATTTCTAAATGTAAAGTTAAAACTGGAAAAACTAAAAAATTTAATTTTTGTTGTTGGTTTAAAATCACCACTTTCTCCATATTTTTTTTATTTTAATTTATTTAACATTAATTTTACGATCAAATTTTTTTTTACCTAAAAACACTTTTAGAAATCCACGTGAAATCTAACTCAATTTTTTAACTCCGTCGACTCAATAGAACACTTATGGTAAAAACAATTCAATCGCTGAAATTCTAACCAAAATAAAATCTAGGGTAAAATATACATTTAATACCTAAAATTTGGTTTCATTTTATCCTAAATTGTAATTTTTTAAAATAGTATTTAATATTTAATTTAAATTTCACTTTAATGCCACACCATTAAAAGTTTAACAAAATTTTTTTAATATGAATATTTTTATATTTTTCTTTGATGATGTGATATTACCTTATGATAAAATATTAACATCATTATTAAGTTAAAATATTAAAACAGAATAAAAGTAATAGTTTAGATATTAAATGTGTAATTTATCCAACAATCATCTCTATCTCTCTCAAATCTTGTTATCCTGCTTTGGCCGCCTATCCAAACTTCTGCCCCCGCAGGCTGCAGCTGATAAAAAGTTCACAAAAGCAGCCGATCGAATCCTCTCCTGGAAATGGCGGAAGCTGAATATGGAAAACCCCTTTCCCTATCTGAGGTATTCATTATTCTGTATCATTTCTTTGAATAGTTATATATTTTTCCTTGTAGAAATGGACAAGTTCGATCTCCGTTTATTGCTATAGTTTGGACTGTTTTAGTTTTAAATTTTTTTATTTCTCTTAGAATTTTGTTTAATTGGACTGAAATTAGCGGATCTGACCGAGTATCGCTGGATTTTACTACCGAGATTAGTATCAGCATTTTTGAAGTTTTGATATGGTAGTTTTGATTAAAATTTTGACTGTCTATGCTCGTTTATCATATATATTTAAGATTCAACTTTCTTGAGTCATTTTCAACATGCGATTAACATAATTTTGTTGCAGCTTTTTTTTTCCTAAATAAATCAGCTCATTGAAGTTACTCTATGATTTCCCTTAAGATTCTATCTATTTGAGTTTCTTGTATACGGTCGGTATTTTGAGAGACGTCATTGATAAGTGTTAGTGAAATCGTAATGTTTTGAGCAAAATTTTATTGGATTTTTCTCTAGCTGCCAAGCTTATAGAATGTGGAATCAAGTAAAATTTCTGAGCAAAATTTTGGATGAATTGATTATTCAAGCTTTTGACTTAAAGGAAATTTGGTTATGACTATGTTGTGTGGAAATAATGTATATGATGTTATAGAATGTTTAATTGTAATTTCTACCTTCTTTGAAGCTTGTTGGTCTTTTTTGAACATTCCAACTATGCATAAATTTAGCTAGGATGCAACCTTCTTAGAAAAGCTTAGGTGTTAAAGTTAAATGAATTTGCAACATATCTTGCTTGTAATGCCGGTTGTTTTGTTGAGAAGGTACTTTTTTTTTTTTTGATAATGAGTGCGTATAGTGGGGGTATTTATTTAACCTGATCATCCTGGAAACTTATTTGAATGTTTGGACATGTAGCAATATGCGCTCAAGGAGGAGGAAAAATCAGATGTGACTACTAAATCGGCAGAAGCAAAAGAGATTGAAAATCCTACGAGTGCTCAATCTGTGGAAGTTGTCACTGAGAAAGTGGAGACTCCTGCTGCTGTAGTTGAGGAAAGCACCGAGGCCCCTCCTGCTCCTGCTGAAGAAAGCACTGAAGCCAATTCAACTGCAGAGAACAGTGGTGAAGATGCTCCATCTGCAGCAGTGAACACCGATGATGCCGAAGAAACACCAGAGATTAAGGTTGACCTGCTGGACATGTTTATTAAGATCTTTATCTTTGCTACCTCCAGAGTATTTATGTGCATATTGAACTCATCATTAGTTCATTACATGTTAGATTGTTTCACTAACATATTTGATTATTTTCGCGATGCTTGATATGCAGCTTGAGACTGCCCCAGCAGATTTTCGCTTCCCAACTACAAACCAAACAAGGCATTGCTTCACACGCTATATTGAGTACCATCGGTGAGTTGTAAATATTTTGTATCTTATAAAGGTATAGAGGGTTGTTTCTTTTAAAAAATGCTACTTGATATATCTTTATCCTTTCTTATGCAGTTGTGTTGCTGCAAAAGGAGAAGATGCTTCAGAGTGTGATAAGTTTGCCAAGTTTTATCGTGCCCTATGTCCCGGAGAATGGGTATGTTTTTTTCTCTGACGATCCGTAATCCACTTCTCTTTATAATAATCAATTGCATTATGTTTTGAACTTTTAACTGTCATTGGATGGCTACCGTCTGTTGCTCTTTTTACATTTGTAAACCAGGGAATACCTTATTGACTCCACATCCTTTTTAGATAGTTGTTTCTAAGCATGTGCGGACCTTAGTGGGGGCCAAGGCTCCAATTATTATTTTTAATTACTATTAAAAATATATTTTTGAAAAATAAATAAAGAAAAATTTATCAGAACCCCCTCAATTAAAAAATTGTATTTATGAAAAATAGAAAATACTTTTTATAAAAAAATTAGAAAATACTTTAAACCCCGCTATAATAAATTCCTAGTTCCGCCCATGTTTCTAAGTTAATTCTAAAATGTTGAAGGGCTGCTGAATAAGAGTACAGTTGAATTATTTTTGTATCTTTTGATAAATTTAATTGCTAGAAAGTCCATATAGATGGCATATGTTGGTGCCACTGATTTAAAACCAAATTGAAGTCTGCCCATTGGTGGCAATAGGTGGGAAAGAGATTTCTGTGAGGGTTTGCATTTGGAGAAAGAATAGTTGGGGGTGTATCACTTGGATAGAGAAGTGGATACAGGTTTATACTACCTATTTGGGCTAGCAGCAAAAACCATGTTGGAGGATATTCCTTTTACTAAGAAATTAGGGTTTTATGGGGAAAATGAGGAGGCTTGATAAGAATTTGGTTTGAAATTTCTGAAAGAGCTTGATTGAGAGGAGATGATGGAGGGAATTAGATATGAATTTTCAATTGCATCCATCCCTTAGGAACTATTCAGTCTTCATTGTTATGCAAGGGCCTACTGTGATGCAGTGATTATACAGGAAGTTAGCTTTAAAAAACATAATGATAGACTTAAACATAGAGGAAACATATGACTGTTAAAAGCTACCCTAAACCCTTAGCTTAGCTAAGTTACCCAAAAGACAGATGTAGTCCTGTAGATGTCAAACTTTAGGTCATACAAGAAAAGAGAAGCCCATTCAAGTGCTCCAATTACTATAAAAATATGGAGACCAATTTTAAGCTGCATTTGGACTAAATCTTATAATTGATTCTTTTGTTGAACTACAATTACTGAACTACAGAAGAACCAACATGTTCCTTGCCTCCTTATCTCAAACTGGTTTAGTATTGGAGGTCCTCGGACAGTTCATTGTCTACAGATCTGGAGATTTTTTCTTACATTTTATTTCAGTAGTGGAGGGTTATGCTTTCGGTCCTAGTTTAAACTAATTGAACGAGTATAAAAGATGCGAGGTTGTATTAGTTTTCAGTCTATCTTCATAAGTAGAATTTCATCCTTAACAAATAGTTGGTTAATTTGTTTATTTACCATTTTCTCGTCAATCTAACAACAATCACTCCTTTCGTTGTTTTTCAGATCGACCGATGGAACGAGCAAAGGGAGAATGGTACATTTCCAGGACCCCTATAGAAGGTACCTCTCTGTCGGAAAACCTTGTGGTTTTCTTCTGTTATATCCACCCAGTTAACCACAGATGAATTTGTTAAAGTCGAATTTGAAAGGATGAGGTAATAAGAAATTTTGGCATGTTTTTCTAGACTAATCAGATCAAGGATGATACAATGCCTTGGCTCATAAAAAAAGGAAGCCTTTACTCTTTCCTTGATGAAACCATTTTTAAGAACACATTCCTGTGACAGCCGATAAACTTTTGTTTGAAGTGTACCATCGTTTATTTCAACTTTAACCTCATTTCTTAACAAAAATTACCTTGCAATGCATCTCAACAATAAGCATTTAATAACCCCCTAATAAAATATATTTATTATTTTGTTTCTAAAAAAACTATATTTAAGGTTTAGGGTTTAACTTTACCCATGATCATTGAGAATTCACAACTTATCACTCAAAAACTATATTTAGCTGTAAGTCTTTGCTTAGCATCAGATTTTGACGAAATCCACTGAAATTACTAGGCTAAGATCCTAAGACCTATTACTTGCCACATTCAGTCGGGAGATCGTGGAGAATGACTTTAACCCGTGAATTGCTAGTGTTGCGTTGGGAAGTCACCCATTTATGTATAATTAAAAAGCGTGATTAAGAAGTCTAAAACTTGGCAAATTCACTATGCCCTGTATGGTTCTTGGTGGTGCGTCCTCATTTGAAATGAAGAGCATAGAAATCCAACTATGCGACTCGTAAGGAATCCGACTGTCACAAGTTGTAACTCAAGAAGTTTCCAGGCCAATGGAAATCACAACTTACAAAACAAAACCAAATTTCACAACATCTAAGTACGACTAAACACCACCTAAATGAATACGAATCAAAGCACTTAATACTCGTACTGAACCCGTTTTCACGCACAATTTAGGACTGAGAATCCCACACAATTCCAAATCCTTGATACTCTAACAAAAATAAAATGTTTCTTCGGTTGCTTAACGTCAAGTAAAACTGACAAAGGTGAGGACGAACACAAACAAGCCCTTCATAAAGCAAGCGCGTGCACCAAACATATCCAGGGGTTACTCCAGAACGAAAATTTAGGGTCAAAATCTAGGAAGAGGACCTACTTCAACCTCTCCGATGTAAATCATTTGCTGTTCAACATCATTAGGCCGTAATCCTAATTCCTGTAACAAGGCAATGCTAGACACACGGGACAGCGATTTTACTACTAGACCATCTATTACCACATACTGCCACATTTTCTTAACATACCCTGAACCGTTTGTTGGGCTCACCCTTGGGGACTTTGGGTCCAACAGTTTGGCTGTGTACCAACAGCCACCAGTATTTATCTTATAGCAGGTTTCCTTACATGAGGGCTCTTGAGAACACATATCTGGAAACACATTTGGTCAACTATAAAACGGGGGAAGAACTACTTTGTTGGAAGTCTTTTGCTTTGTTATTGAGAATATAGCGTCTAAATCTCTATAAAAGTTAGAGATGGAGCCTACTGTGAGGTTACCCTTACCTCCAATACAGACTCCAGAGGGATGGTGAAGAAGCTAAACAGAAGATCAACAAAATTTTCACCTGCTTCAAAACATAATGGAAGAAGTAATGATGTGCAATATGAAAAGTACCATTTTGAAACTATCTCCAACATATATTGATTTCTTTCTCAAAATTGATTTCTATTTTTGCAGATATTGGGGGCAACTCTTTTTCCATCTCCAGCAGCAGAGATTAATAGAGTTGATCCGGAATGGGGAAATAGAAAGAAGCCTTGGAGTTTGCTTAAGAGGAGCTTACACCTAGGGGAGAATAAAACGTAACTCGTCTTCATTAATGCTCGAGAACTCTCTTATGAATCATATTTTGCTTTTGTATATCTAACCAGCATTAGTCAGTTGTTTCTAAAATGCAGATCTAAACCGTCGTTTTTGTTTTCTGCAGCAAAGCATTTTAGAAGAGTTGGTGAGAACTGTTTCACTCATGTCTTTTGAAGATGTTTCAAACTGCCCAGTTGGAGAGCTTCTGGACATATCACAGCGACTTAAGACGGCAAGTGAGGTGAATGAAGCCATTCTTACTAGCTAGAGTCATGAAAAAGCTCTGCTTTTATTAAACACCCTTCATTTATTTTCTTTTCGGGTGCAGATTACAGACACTTTAGTTAGTATACGTAATCCTTAAAGGAGCACGATTTTCCTGCCATGGCCCATCCACAATATTTAGCAAGTGTAGACACTAAATTTCGTCCTTTAAAATTATATAATATTTTTACATTATAGTTTATATTATATATTTTATTACACATATTGCACACATATTTACATATCCATTTGTTTACATTTGTGACAGGGCCCGAATGCAAATGAAGGACCAAGACCAGATGACCCAGAAAAAACGGCTCACACTCTACTGACCCAACACACGCACCCAAATCAACAGAACACCTGAACTGGAAACCCTAACTTTCGTGTCTCATTCAGCACCACGTGGAGACCCCAGCCGCTCGGTCGCCATGTCTCACGCTCCACGCAACCGATTATCTTGGTTCAACAAATGAATCGTGCGTCAATGGGGCTTCTCACCTCCAACAACCTCGTATTCCCCGGCGTAAGATAACCACCAACAAGCAAGGAGTTAGAGTTCTAATAGGAATCAAACACTAAAATCATAGGCTATAAATATTCGATGTAATCACGAGAGCAGGGGGAGATCACGCATATTACACACAGGGGGGCACACGAAAAATCACACTGGAAAATACGGGGGAAGAAATATACGGAGGAGTGAACCGTTTTTAGGGGTTCTCGAACAAGAAACAAGAGGAAAAATAAAAATAGGGTATTCGAACCTATTTGAAAGGCAAACCATTCAGTGTGAAAAAAACCCAGAGAGAAAAATCTCCAACCATATTCGAACCCAGAAAGAAATCTGTTCGAAAGGAAGAATAAAACTGACCTTTGGAGGAGGCTCGACCACTGCTTGCTTTGTCGGAGTAAAGGGTTTTCACCCAAGCAGATACGCGTGGGAAAACATCAATTCTTGGTCTCGAATTACATACCAGGCGAAAGGAGGCTCAAGAGAATTACCAAGGCAAAGGCGACGGCAAAGCCTTAATGAGATCTGCAAAGACTGAAGCAAAGTCTTGAAGGTGTTAAAATACAAGCATATTTGGTGGGGTTCCAAATGGACTTCACGTGCCTATAATGCTTTGGGTAAAAAACCCTTTAAATTATATTCATGTGAGGACCACATTTATATATGGTAATGTGCAAGTAACATGCTTTTGAGTTTTAAGGATTAATTCTTGTTATGATATTCCATTTTAAACATCATTCATTTTGGTCCCTTTTATTTTTTTTATTTTTTTCGTTCTTTCGTTGGTTGTGTTCGATTTTCATTTTAACATTTTTTTATTTTGTTTTTTTATTATATTTTATTATTTTTTAGTTTTTTTTACTCAATTTTATTTATCTATTTTATTTATTTTTTTTATTATCATTATATTAATATTTATTATTATTTTTTTTCATTTATTTTTATTTTACAATCTAACAATATTGTTGACTTTTTAGGGGATTTTTTTTTTCAATCGAAGGTAAATAATTTGAATTAGGTTAATTGAAATTTCAATTTCAATTTTTGCAATTAAAGGCATCCGACAAATTAATTGGTACCGAAAGGGCGGTTCAAGGGTGCTAATCCTTCCTTGACCGTAACCGACTCCCGAACCCGACACATTTCTGGTACAACGCAGATCAGGTAAGATGGTGTCCGACCCACCTAAATTCATTTTAAAATGGTCGGTGGCGACTCCAATCCATTTAATCCAAGTCGAAGCCCAATTCCGGGGCCCAACCGAAAGGCGGTTGCGACAGCTTGGCGACTCCACTGGGGACCGGTAAGTGAGTCAGGCCATAATTAATTTTCGTTTGTCTTTTTTTAGCGAAAATTACAAGTTTAAATTTTAATTTATTTATTCGATTCCAATTATTTATCTTTGATTATTTTTTTTTCAAGTAAATAGTTGTACTAACCGTTTTCTAATGATTTCAGCCCTTAAAGATTTTTTGTCTAAGGCTCTATACCCGAGCTCCGAACCCTATTTAAGTGGGGGTGAAAGCGACGCCTTCGTGTGAATTTATTCACCGTGCGGGCCTAGCAAGTAGCCTTCGGGATTCATATACCTTATGTCTTCGTGTGAATTTATTCTCCGTATGGGCATAAGGGAATGTTTCCTCTCGAGTTTAACTTAGTCCACACAAGCCTGTGATGGGTTTAGGACTAAGGGTCTGGTAAGCCTAAGGAGGCACCAGCAAGGAGAACTCGAGTACCGTTTTTTTAGAACCTAACTCGGGAGACTACAAGGAGTTAGAGCCCACCTCAAAACCTCATTTCAAACCCTAGGATGCCGGAATTATTTCCTGCTTTACTTTCTGTTCAAAGCAAGCGAACTAGACAAATATGCGGTTAGGATTTGTGTGAAATTAGCATGCGGGATAGAGATCATGTCCGGGTAAGAATTAAAGCATGCGGGGTAGATATCATGTGGGGTAGGATTTGTCGTTTTTATTATTGTTTTGATTTATCTCACTAACTCTATTTTTACTTTTGTTCTCTTTTATTTTGTTTTCATTATTTGCATCATTCAAAAGAGGTGTTGATCCACCAAAAAACGTGTTCGTTAACCATAAATAATTTGCATTAATGGATAAAGGGGTTGTAATACAAGAGATAAGAACGCAGGGGTCCGGCTATGGTCAGAAAAGACTCAGAAAGAAATGAGGACAATTTGCAAGACAAATATGTGTCACATTCATGGTGCTCACAATCAAGTACATCAAAAGTTAACTTTTCAAAAATGGGTTGACAAAGGTGGCAGGGGCAAGACGAAAAAAGGTTACTGACCTCGAGAGTCCATTCAAAGACAACAAGAACAAGATGGCAAGTCACTGTCGACAAATTCAAGAAACAAGCAAATGAACTTCGGATAATCCTTTTGATGGAGGATTTCAATGGAATTTCCGATTCAGCAAAGGATGAAAGCCAGAGATGAAGTCATTCGACACTTTTTGGGAACCAATACAAAAAAGGTTCATCCAGACCGGTTCGAAAGACGAAGGCAAATGACTAGTCAACCTGTTCCGGGTCTAGAGGATTTAGTCCGAATGTACCTTTAAATATGTTTATTGTCTCTTAAAAGATAAAACACTTTTGTC